AAACCATTTCAGGTGACTACCTCTTGAAGCTCATGGAGAGAATGCCAAGAGTGTGCAAAGCAGTAATCAGAGCAAAGGGTGGCTATTTTGAAGAAACTAGAATATAAAACATGTTTTCAGTTATTTCACCTTTTTTTGTTAAGTACATAACTCCACATGTGTTCATTCATAGTTTTGATGCCTTCAGTGAGAATCTACAATGTAAATAGTCATGAAAATAAAGAAAACGCATTGAATGAGAAAGTGTGTCCAAACTTTTGGCCTGTACTGTATGTATATATGTATGTGTATATGTATGTATGTGTGTATGTATGTATGTACACACATACACACACGCATTCAACTCAATGCATCCTCCGTCAGCTGTTAGTTCCGGTCACCGGCTTACGTCAACTCAACAGTGGCATCACGCGGCGGGCTCTCACGTTGTTATTGCACTGTTTGGCCACTACAGAAATTGGCTTGAAGCCCCAGTGCACTCCCAGGGGCCTGATGCAACCTCCGTCAGTAGTTAGCTCTGGCCACCATCAGGGAGGTTAAAAAGATGAGAACTCATGGCGTCATATCCTTGTTTTCCAACACATGCACAGTAAAATCAGGTCTGCACCTGCAGAAAGGCTCTATAGCCGGTTAACTATCACAGAGCATGAGGATGATTGATTCATTTCCACACTTGGCCTTAGGTGAAAATATAATTTGTACAAAAAAATAAAGATACTGGTAAGAATTACAATTCTGCAGTTATTGAAAAGGTCCTTCATAAAAGACAAGACATAAATGCTTTCTGTATTATGTTGTATCATATTATTTTAAATATCACGTTTATACTGAAAAGAGCTTGAGGATCATAATGTAACTTAGTGCAACCTTTGTTAGCTGTTAGTTCCAGCTACCTGCTGCTAATAGCTAACATTAACTGGCTCTCTTCCTGCCGATTTCAACACCCTTTTGTTGTTCACAGGCTGATGCCGGTGTTCGGCTGATAAATCATGGTGTCCCTAGCCTGCTGATGTACCGCCTCTAGCTTGTTTAAGCCGGTCTCTGTGTTTTCCCTGCAGTGTGGGTCAGAGGCAGCTGCTGTGTTTGGCCAGAGCTCTCCTGAGGAAGACCAAGATCCTGGTTCTAGATGAGGCCACAGCAGCTGTGGACATGGAGACAGACAACCTGATCCAGTCCACCATCCGCTCTCAGTTTGAGGACTGCACTGTCCTGACAATCGCTCATCGCCTTAACACTATCATGGACTACACCCGGTATGGGACACTACACAGAAACAGCTGTCTTTACACATGGCTTTGTTATATAAATACCTATCTTTGTGTTCAGTTCATAGAGCCAACAGTGGTCATTGTTGCCAATGATTCTTATTAGTCTTGAGTTATTATCTCAAGGTAAATAGTTATTTATGTCTAGTCTTTGATATGTTAAGATAATAACTGGATTCTGTGTCATCTAGAGATGTCAAACATTAGTTTGGCATTATCACGAGATAACGTGTGCAGAAACATACAGGTGCATGTAGCAGATCTGCAGCTTTAGTACTAACAGATGTAGGTGTAGCTATTTGCTTGTGCTCTTCATACCAAAGAACTTAATGAATTTTTTGGCTCCTCTAGGGTCCTGGTGTTGGACAAGGGAGAGATGGCAGAGTTCGATTCCCCCTCCAATCTCATCGCTCAAAGAGGAGCTTTTTACAAGATGGCCAAGGATGCAGGGCTGGTATGAAGCAGCTCACTCTGTTCAGCTGCTCCTCTGAGTCCCTCCCAGCTTGTCTGGCTCCCTGTTGTGGAGCTCCTCACTTACAGAGGAAGAGGGAGATTGTTAAGATTTAGAATGATGGACTGTTTAAGAAAGGGTATTGATGAGAACAACAGGTTTGGTTTGATCTGCTTCACCATACACTTCAATCCTCATTTAACTACACAACTCCATGATGCCTGTCCCAAACAACCTTGCATCTTTCTGTCAGCCTGGGACGTCTCTGTGACCCCTGATTCCTCCCACCCCTTTCACTTTCTGTTACTGCCATTTCTGCCATGGACCAGGAGGTGAGATATTCTAACAAGGGACATACTTTATACGGCATTCATTTAGACAGAGCATTGTACCTGTGCTTGAACAAAGGGGAGGAGTTGTACTTCTCTCCAGACACAATTCCTGCAGTCTATCAGAAACAGTTCACTTGTGGCTGTGGTATTCAATGCTGAAGTCAGTGGAGGACAAAAAGGTTTGTTCCATAAGTGCTAAATTATTTTGTGCCAAATACTGTCCTCAGAAATCCCAGCTATTTTGCAGATTTTAAAAATCAGCACTCATTTGAGAAGAGGATCATGATTTGGGAGACTGCTTACACGGACAGCATGTTCAAATAGGCAGTGAGCGTTCTCATTTAACAAACAGGAGCCAAGGTCAAGGGCCTGTGTCCACATAGGGTTTTTTTTCTCAACACCAATGTCTTTTTTTCAGTTGTTCCCAATGTGGTGAGAGCATCTGCTTAGAGGAAAAGCGTTGCCCCCGGCATCTTTATTCAGAGCATTCTCCCTTTTTTGTGCGGCTGCTTCAAATGCATCTATATAAAAATCTCTAAATGTGTTCAGAAAGGAGCTGGTGATGTCACTGCCACTCTTTTAGCTAGGCCACTATCATAACAAAGACAGAAAAGCCCATCTATGGAGCTACATTTGTTTCTTTATTATTCAATCAAACATTAGGTTTTGCAATCAAAAAAAAGATTTGAGAGCAAAAGTATTAATATTGTAATCAAAAAATGTTTTATTGCAAGTAAAAAATTATTGATTTAAAAATGCAAATCCTAAAGTTTTGTTTGCAAATCCTATAGTTTTGTTTAAAAATATTTGTCCACAAGAGTGGTTTGATAAAAACATATGATATCCACACAAAACCGCAAAACCTGCTACCAAGTGATGTAAAACACATGCCAAAGCAGTAGGTGGCGATGTAACTTAGCGCGACCTAATTCAACAGCAGAGGCGCCTGAACGACCAACTACACTACCACGAAAGCAGCAACGGGCCTGCCAAAGGAGGTCCGACCTGGCCAGATCCAGAACCTCCGTTGGCAGGCCCGTTGTTGCTTTTGTGGTAGTGTAGTTGGGGTAGCTAGCAACAGGAACAACCTCCTGCATTGGTTGTTAGGTCATGCAGCTGGATATGCCATCCAAAGAGAGTAGATAGCACACTCACAAATAAAGTTAGTGTGACATATAGGGTATTTTTGTGTATCTGCCCACTCAATTGTGACATTATTTTATGCATATGATATCAATTTTGTATCTTTACAGATACTATACAGACACCCCCATTCAATTTAAAGCATAACTGATTTGAGTAAAGGCACGAGAGCAAATCTGGGTATATAAACGGTTGGTTCTCCAGTTGGCAGTTACACCTAGAGTAAAGCTACTGAAGACCAGTAAAATCACCGTTTGTTTTCATTTATTCTTTCAGATGTCACCTAAGCACCTTCAGATTTTAGTAGTGTACCCTTAATAGATAATTTGTTTATACAGATTGTATTGTGCTTCGTGATATTGTTTAAGGGAACTGTAACGTAAGGTAACTGCATATGATTGGATGCAACCGTCAGTAATGCTAGCGTAGTTCCTGCAGATGAACTATGCAGAGCTCATTGAAATTGAAGAGCGGACGAAGAGAGAGAGGGAGCAGTGTTACTTCGGTAGCACATATACTAAAATTTCAACAGGCAGAGGAACATGTCCAAATCCAGCTAAAGGTAAACACAGACGTTCATTTCTCCTTTCCGTTACGTTGTCGGATAATTATACTAACAATCCGAGCCTATCTGTGTGAAAAAAATGCACTTTTAGTGGAAGTATTTTGACGTTGTTTGAAGCTGTCTGAGTGCCCTATTATTTAATATAGCGTGCGCTCACGGGCTGCAGGCAGGTCAGCCCTAGCTTCGTAGTGGAGAAATGTCAAATATTGAACATCCTATCACTCATTTAGACAAAAGTAGATTGGAAAATAGGGCCCAGGTTGAAAAACACATTAGTTCCACTTTAAGCTGTTATTACTTTCATTTTGACAATCTAATCTGTGACAACACATTAGCTAAGGTTTTAAAGACTGTAACTGTTGGTAGCTGTTGTGGATTTTGTTTAAATATATTGAATTATAATTTTATGGGTTATTGTTTGTCGGACGATTGAGCTAAGCTAACTAACGCTAACGTCAGCTGTCACTTGTTGCCATAGCAACGGTAAACATTCACATACGGGCAGAGTGCAGAATCAAGCTTCATTGTGAATATAGTTAAGATACATTGTATTTAACACAGGATGTGGGATTTTAGTAGTTAGTAAACTTTTAGAAAAGAGCTATTTACCATCTCTCTGACGTCAAACAATGGAGACAGGTAATAAAATACTGCGGTTATCCTATCTACATGCAACCGCTTGCGCTGGAGTCTTCCAAAACCTTCACCCTGGACTCCAGTTTCAAAGAAACGCAGAAACACTTTTTAACTTGCAAGCAAAGAGGACTGATTTGCAAGCAAAACTTTTTAACTTGCAAGCAAAGAGTACTGATTTATAAGCAAAATGATCATACGTTTTTACTTACAAACTTGATTTTTAATTGCAGTTCAAGAAATATGCTCTCAAAACAGTTTTATATGATTGCAACAAAAAGACACAAAAATACCTCCATACCCACCTGTGGGAGCAGATCCGCCAGCAGACACTGAATGTTGCTGGTGAGTGTTGAGCTTTTATCAATCAGTACGTTTACATGACACCATGGTACCAGTTAGCTGCTACTGTAGCTATTCATAGCTAACTTTTTTGTCAGTTTTTTGGTCTGTGAAAGGGGGCTGAAAGGGGGCATATCGCCGCCTATCATAGTGGAGTCGGACATACATCGGTCCATTAATTGATTCCCCTCCTGTGCTTGTATAAGGGGACAAGGACAATAGTCAAATTAAATGGCCTAGTGGAGCTACAGTATAACCATAGCTCCACTTAAGTGTGCATGTAAACATACTGACTGTACCATTCTAATCTTGTTGTTGTGTAAATCCTCTGTTAACATAGCGTTGTGTCAGCCACCAAGCTAAGAGATATTGTTGTCCTAGAAACAAAATCCACACCTAGCACATAATTAAGAAAAAAGAGCTCTGAGCGTATTTTTAAGAAGCATTCTGATAAAGTGCTCCCCAGCAGCCTGCCACCACTTTTCTGCCAAAGAAAAATGCTGTGTGGACTCACACCCCTAAAGGTCCAGTGTGTTGAATCGACAAAAATGGAATATAATATAAGTATGGGGTTTTTTTTTGGTGTATAATCAGCTGAAAATAAAAATCATGTTGTCATTTCCTTAGAATTTTGTTACCTTAGAGCCGTTTTTATCTACATAGGGAGCAGGTCCTTGTTTACAGAGTCTGCCATGTTGCACCGCTGTGTTTCTACAATAGCCCAGAACAGACAAAACAAACACTGGCTCTAGACAGGGCCATTTACGTTTTTGCATTTGCATTGTGTCAGTGATGAGCAGCGTCAAAAAAACAAACAAAAAAAAAAGATTGAAACAGAAGTGAAACTGCTCTATTTTGTTTTTACTGGTTTAATCACAAAGTCCATTTGTTTTAAAGATGAAGAGACCACTGTTGATAACTTTGCTCACAGTAAAAAACTGAACATCTGGATCAGAAAAAAAGGTGAACACACAGTAGCAGCTGCTAATCTAATAACCATCTTCGACACGCCAAACTGTGAAGAAGAAACATTGATTTGTAACATGAAACTGTCAGCTGTTCTTGTACCTCCTGAACAATGAACACTGAAGGAATTCTAACCTGGAGAAGTTTCAGCTGGTTGCAATCTGCAATTCACCACTAGACACCACTAAATCCCCCCTAAATCTAACACACTGGGCCTGTAAGTGAGACATTCCTGATTCATAACTGCTTTGTCTGAATTCCATACTATGTACTAAGTGTCACAGGGAACAGCAGGATGTAACATTCTCAGGATTGTTTCCTCTGAGGGGGTAGTGTTTGCTGTTTCCTGCTCTCAATTTTACATTTGGAGCATCATCAGGAGCATGAAGATGTGTTAGGAGCAACAGCAGGTGTGCCAGTCAGAAACAACCAATACTGAACATTAAAACATAAATCAAAGCTACAAACGCACAAACTCCAGGAATCTGTTGGACAGACTCCTCTTGACTGTTACTTTACTTCCAGCACTGACTTTTTATTTATTGTGTGTTTGTGTTCTTTCAACAACTGCTTCAAATTGATGTGTTGATGTGAGCTGCTTATTAGTTTCGAGGCTCTGCTCCTACTGAACAACATTTTGTTTTTGGGATTTTGATTTTAGGTGAACTCTAATGAGGTCCCGATGTCCTGAATGTACACAAAATGGACATTGTAATCTTTTTTAGGTTCATTTTGACTTTTTATGTACATGACATATCTGAATTGTTTACAGCTAACGTGATGCTTTAAAGAGATGGACGCATGCCCACAGTATGAGTCTCAGTTTTAAGCTGATTTGACCCTGTGTTACATTTCTGTGCATTGTTGTATTTGTGTCAGTGAGTTCTTGTGTTATTTTAAGTGAATAAAGATTCTGAGTGATTGTTTTGATAAGGTACTGCATTTAAAAGCTCCTGAACCGACATGCAGAAAGACATCCCACTTTCTACTGTGCACTGGAACACTTGCATGCACTTTGAGGCCCAGACACACCAAACTGACTTCAGAGAACTCGCAGCAACAAAGCCCCTTGGCTGCGTGGTCTCATGTCGCCTGTGATGTGGCCAAAAAAGTTGCACATGCACACACCGCAAAGACTACAGCCAGTGGTCAACCAGATTGTTCTGTGCCTGCAACTCTCCACATCATCAGACAGTAGTAGTCTGTATTAACTAGGGCATTAACAGAAAAATCGATTTGTCGACGTGTCGACGTCAGTGGCACAAGTCGACAACCCCCGGGAGGAGTCGACATGTCGTGTGTTTTTTCCCTCTCTCTCTCTCTCTGTGTGCTTGTGTACGGAATGAAATCGCTGCCTCTGATTGGCTTACGCTGATACTTTATCCGTGAAGTGAACATACTCGGGCGTACTATAAGCGGAGCAGACTCCGCGAGGAATGTTCGCAGTCATTTGGGCTTTCATAGTCAAGCGCACTTCCACGTTGTAGTTTCCTGTAAAAATGTCCGTGAAAAATCCCTGCAATATGAAAAATACATGCCGAGCAGTCACTGATGCACGGAGCGGAGTCCGCGCGGAGCTTTGCGCGCACAGGGCTTGCGGACGTCCGCTTAGAGTCCACGCGGACCTCCACAGAGTCCGTTCCGCCCGAGTATGTTTGGGCCTTGACAGACACACATCACATGTGTGGAGATACTTCAGTTTCCTCCGCCGTGTCAATGTGATGACGTCAACAAATGACTTGTCGACTTGACTTCAACTTTATTGACAAATAAGTCGACCTGAAAAAAATCAGTCGTTAATGCCCTAGTATTAACCATTCAAAAAGAGTACCAGGAAGACTGTCTTGATGCTAGTTAGCCAGTTAGTACAGTAACAACACAATCCAATGTTGAAAGAGAAGAGCATATTTACCATGCACTAGTGAACAATAACACAAACCATCAGGAAATGTTTCTGTCCTTATGGAACACGTTCATTTTGTCTCACTCCCTCTGGACTTTAGCTCTTTGTTTCCTCACTTC